TTTTTTATGTGTACAGTATATAAATGTTCTGGTGATTATCGCAGGTTTTGGGGGGATGTTATGGTTTTCTGAGTGGGCTTTGGTTTAACGGTCATAGGTGACTGTCCCCTTGGTCACCTCTGGGGTCTTCTTTTTTTTACATGCTGATACATATCTGAGTAACGGTACAGGACATGAGCTTTTGTCCTGAATGAACTGTAAGAGACTAATGACTGAAGTGTCATTTTATCATTAATTCACAGTCGTAATTAACAAATTTCCTCACATTTGCTGACAAATTAAGGCTTAATGATGGATCTCATAAAAATACTTACAAATGTACGTGTATATTCATATATACAAGTTTGTGGAAATATCTTTTATAATCAGGGGTGGATCCAAGAATTTCAGTTAGGGGAAACATGAAAAATATTTTCAGAGTCTGGGGGTCTAGGGACCACCTTAAGGCCCCTAGTAGGTCTAATGCAAAGCACTGATGGAGGTCTATTTTTTCAAGAGAAACAAGATCTCATATTTGATAATTTAAAGAACTATATGCGGTTTATTGCCTATATTTGCCCCCACAAATGTCAAATTTCGTAGGTCTAATGCAGAAGCACTGATGGTTTTTAGGTCTATTTTTTTCAAGAGAAACAAAATTTCAACAATTTTAGCTTTAAATTTATCAATTTCATATTTTAATTTGCACAATATTGACATATTTCATTGATATCATCATTCTACACATTATATCAAAATATTGATCCTGAACACACATGCGCTCGGTGACTTTTACTCAAAATATCGACGGAATATGTACCTTTTTCTGTAAAATTCATAAAAAACTGAAATTTACGTCATGTTTGTGACGTCATTACGTACATATGGCGTCATTACTTATGAAAATATTCAGTGCTTTGAAGTCAGCATATACTCCCCTGTTTAAGAACTTAATTAAATATATTTCCATCCAAGTTTGATTTGGGGGGCAAAAATTGGTTATTACCGAATAAAGTTCTTTATCAATTTCATATTTTAATTTGCACATTTAAGTATCTTTATTTTTTGCCTTTATATATAAATAAGTAGCCCTTTATACACAATCATGTAATCTAATAAATTCTAGAAATTCTAGGGGTCTTACACCTCCTCTCAAACTGCTTATGATATTTATAACTGCACAATTTTTCTGATTTTCCTGAATTAGACACCACACATTCAAGAAAATTTGCAAACACAAGTTCTTATAAAAATCTTGACATTCTTGCTGTGGAATGCTGACAGATTTTATCAAGTGAGATTAGCAGCCCTATGTAATGTTTTGTCTGTCAAAGATTCCTCTTTATTATGCTGGTGTCTTGGATTACCATAGCAACATGTTGCTTTTTTTCTTGAGGATTTGTTATTCTTTGGTAGAGGGAGTAAAAATAGCAAGGCATATTAAATTTTCAAACATATATTTGTATGGTTTTTAAGCTCTGCACCAGCAATATTAGCTTCAACTAAATTGTAAGCTTATGGCATTATTGGATATCCAGAAGTTTATTATCAAGTCAACATTGTAAAGAATCATTTTTGTCAATCATGGTTCTGATGGTTGATTTGCATTGCACACATACATTTAAAAAAAATTGCATTATCATAATAGTAATGATGATTTAGCTTTACACATATTTTCTTGAGCTGAACATATTAAAATGCAACAAAACATTGCACTGTTGATATGCACAAATCTTTAACAAAATATAAATTTTTTTCCTGGTCATTTGGTTATAGTTGACAAAAGTTTCCTTTGGAATATTTATTCAATAAATGATTGCAATTCAAACTTCATCTTTTGTAAGCAAGGGAATCTTTATGTAAATGTTGATTCAACTTTATTCAGTACTGTTCACCGAGTTGAGCAATTTAGTCTTTGAGCTTCTCTCTCTATTGAGAATTATTATGTTTTTATATATTTTTGAAAGTTAAACCTGATTAAGCCCTTTTTACAAGCACTGTAACCCAGAACATTGCATGAGAGGTGTACACATACATTTATCTAAAGGTGTTGTCTGAATTTCAGTTCTGTAACAATGCAACAGTGTTGTGGAGTTTTACAATAAAATTGGTAGAATTTGAATGCAATTTCTCTGGTGGTGTATATGTATGTCAGTTAGATCCTTGTGCTAAGATAAAATTAGGAATTCTTTAACACTAAGGTCCTCAAAATTGTAGGAATTTCCACCAGTGTGTTTTTTTTTCAAATTTTCTCACACAGCAGGTAAATCCAGAACACTTCTACAAACGATCTCCCAAGAAAGTGTAAAGGTTTGGGTCATGCATATAGGTCTGGGTAGCTCAGTTAGTAGAACACCTGTTCAATGATATTAATGTTCTTGGTTTGATTCTAGGTCCATTCATACATTTTCTCCTATCCTGTTACATTATTGATGCTAATGACCACTTTTGGACATGCAGGTGACAGTCCTGTCAGAGGCAAAAGAACCTGCCAGGTTTTGTCTTCAATATTGAAGAAAATGTAAGGAGGGAGGAATTTAATGGTTTGGGCCATAAATACTGGCCTGGGTAGCTCAGTTGGTAGAAAATCTGACTAGTGATACAGGGGTCCATGCAGGTTTTAATTCCCAGTCCAGCAATACTTGTTCTCCTTGCTTGGCTCGACTATAGGATTGGGCTGTCTTTTGGCTAACCAAGTATTGCAGGACTCTCATAATAATAATGCTTTTCCTTTACAACAATTTCTATGGGTCTTAGCACTATTGAGGGAATGTTGCATATTTTGATTTTGAAAGTCTCAACATAAAATAACTCATTTTGTATACCAGGTATTGGATATTACCACATTGCTTTTGAATTCACCTCTCTCATCAAAAAACTTGCATCCTGACTGACATTACCCACCCCTACCAGCATAGCACATAAGTTAACAAAGAAAAACTTGGTTACATAGCTTTATTACGGAATTGGTAAAATAAAATAAATCATGTAAGAAATTGGGTATTTAAAATAAAATCAAGAGCTATATACATATATAAAGTTGTAAGCACTGCAACCTGGTGGCAATATTAAGGGCTTTGGAATTGGCAGTTTCTCTAAAATACATGTATTTAATGAAACATGCATGCAACTGAAATGATAATTTGACTAAGAAAAAATGTCAACATGGTTTTCATGATGTTATTTGAATTGATTTAGGTAAAAGTTTGTTCTTTTGATCATTATAAGAATGGCTTTGTTGACAAGCCTTGGTGACATGGCTAATAGTTTGTTCAAACTTTTCATTACCAGCAGTCTCTGTTTGCTAACTGATGTTGTTTGACACTGTAATATTCAGTTTATTACCCACTAATTCGACCAAGGAACGAGATTCCAATTGGTTCAAATAATCTTCAAGTTCTATTGGCAAACCTTGATTCTGCATTAATTAATAAATGTACCTAGTACTTTCAACCAGTTAATTTTTTTTAGGGGGGGGGGGGTAGGGGGTAGTCTTCCATGGAAAGGAAGGTGATTTGGCCCTAGGTAGAACTCTATTATGTAACTATATCAGTACTAAGAAGTACTTGTTTTGCCAGGAACAGTCACTGACTAGTATATGTACTTACTGTCTTCTGTCTGTGAATTAAGACTTTAATGAGAATTGTGATGATGGCTGACTTGTGGGTAATTGTTTTCACATGAGAGTTCTGTCTTATGTCTTCAGCATCATGTGTAACTTACACAGAACCAAATTGTCATATTTGTACAGGTTCTATAGTAACAATTTTCCTGTGTTAAAAAAAATGTTTAAAATCATTTGAAGTGTTATATCATTTTGAAGAGAGCTGGCATTATAACTGAAAAGGGTTAAACTTTACTTTGATTAAAAAAACTTACAAATTTGATATAGGGATGGATGGGGGATTATTTCTAATAAATTTGTATACCTGGGGTTATAAAAATTGGATGTATTTTCTGCAATATCAGCCAGGGTTTGATAAAAATTTGATACTGTCATTACTCAGTAAATCCAGGTCAGAGAAGTTTTATTAAGGTTTTGAAGAACTTACACCCATTCTTGTGTTTCTTATGAATAAAAAATTTTTGGTTTTAAAATACATTATTGATCCTCAATTTTGTAATCAGGTTAAGTATATAGGTCTGGCCCCACCAGAAATCAAGTCAAGAACTATTGATTCCTGTAAGATGTTCTCCATGTCACAAACTTTTGATGTCGACTTGTTTTGGGCCGACGTCCACTGGGTTCTACATATCTTTGCACTCAGGGACTGTTTGAATTTCTCCACAGACAGGCTTTAATATTGGCCCCGAAGAAAAGATATGCAGATCACATCTCCTTGTAATTGAGGAAATTTTCTATTAAGGTACATAGATCATATTGGACATTTAAAAGTATACAGAGAGGAGAAGTTAAATAGTATGAAATTTATTATTGCCTGTTTGGATGTGAAAGGGGGAATACATGCAGTCTCTGCCAGGTATCGGGACCTTTTAAGTAGGAAATTTACAAGATCTGAAGATAGGTGTAAGTGATGGGATGTTAAAAAGACAGTGAAGTTTTCAAAACTCTTGGACGGTCTGGAAGCCTTATAACTGTTTGACAAGAGTTTTTAAATTTTTTGTGGGCTGTCTTGTAGAGGTCAATGCAAATATTGTTTTAGGTGTTGAATGGCTTTCTAAATAAACCTCTCATTATGTATAAAGGAACCACATGTAGAAGTGATTGAGTAAATCTGTTCATTCACCTGGAGAGAAGCCCCTTCCATTAATCGGGGCAGTGCATTTTTTAATATTCAATGATTTTTATGATGTAGGCTCATATGACAACAGTTATTGTGCCTCTGTTTACGGAATATTAAGCCGAAATCATCGAATGTTTTTGTTGAATCTGGATGATAATTACTTGAGTGATGGTGTGGAAAAAAGGGAATCTAACACAGGTTTAAACCTGATGAAGGATTATGGTTTTGACGGCATTGAACGGCAGATTTATAGAGAAGGATAAGACTTTTTTTGCAGAATATTAACGTACAATGGAGAGTTTAAAAGAATCTTACTTCTTTGCACAATATAAAAAAGAATTTGGGGATAAGACTGCACCAGAGTCAAGTAAGTTAATCCATTTTATTTCAATCTTTGCAGATTAGCGACACATTTTTTTTCACACAAATTTCGACAAATTATGTATTTAAAATTTTGATGGATTTTGTTTGCGTCTTGTAAAGTGCATTCAATGGCGACTCAGCGGTGATTATTTTGTTATGGGTACTTAGTAGTTACCTTTATAGGTAAACATTTTTTAAGGTGTCAAATTCCAATGGGTGATTAAATCCCAATTAGTTGGTGTACAGATCTCATATCTTTATTGCCACTTAGTGAGTCACAAGAAAAATTAAAATTAAACTAGAATTTTTATTTACCATTAAAATATAAAACAAATCCGAAAACAAGTAATAAAAAAGTTATTTGATGTACTCTACATCCAGTAGCAGTTTTCCCTTGTCTAGAGCTAATGGTATGTTTCCTGTGTCTCTGTGAAAATTGAATCCAGTGACTTTTTAAGACCCCCTTGTCACATAATTGCCACTTGTTATAACTTCTTGTACTCATAGAGACATTCATTTACTAACTCAAATCCCCATTGAAAGAAAAATGTCTACTTGTATGAAGGTACGATTATGAATCATTTGGCCTCGAAAGAGAGAGGCTGGTTCAAATTTTATCATACACATCTTCCAGAGTTTGATATAAATGACTCATTTCTGATTTGCACATTTTGCAAAAGGCTTGTTTTTATGGAACTTGGCATAAAATTAGTGCCACTACATTTAATTTGGAGGAATCAAAGAGATACATCGATGTTTTCTTAAGGTGAGAGCATGTCCCCTGATAATGAATGTCATGTAATGTATTTTACTCTTTTTTTTCTTGTCTCATTGTGTTGCAGGATCATGCACTGTACCTTTGTAGGGGACTTTGGAAAAAAAATAATCTGACAATTTATTGCTCGTAAATTGGATAAATATGGCAATGGGACAAAGTCAAGTGCAGAAAAAGAATGTTTAGCATGTCTAAGTAGACGAATATTCATTATCGTTGTCTCGCACAATTGATTTACATACAGGTACTTTATGATAAGTTTATATACATGGTAGGCATTATTGAATGTTTTGAAATATAGTATATCTTTCTGATTTTTTTTAATTATTTTTTTTTGGGGGGGGGGGGGAGTAGCCACTGGCAAATAGTGATAGGTGGTGAATATTTTGGTATTTATACATACGGAATATTTTTAAGAATTAGAAGTATCTGCAGCCTTTTACTTTTAAAATTTGATTTCCCATGTAATAAAAAGAAGTGACAGTTGACAATATTAATTTTATGAATTAGTATATTGTGATATTTAGGGGTATTGGTAAATTTTTTTAAATTTTAAACTAAAGCATCTAGATATTTGTCAAAATTTAGGACAGAGTTGAGATTTACAGTTTTGTGTAGAATGTATAAGCATGGACTAATCATTTTACCATTTTAAAATAATCTTGAAAAATATGTAAATTATTCTTAAATGCAAATTCAAATTTCATCAAATCATGACCTTTAAGGATAAATTGAGACTACATGCATGATAGGGGTTGAAGGATTTTACATTGTAGGCATATAAAGAAAAAAAATATGTAAACAAAAAGTCTGTTAAGATTTGAATCAATGATTGCAAGGATCCCCAGATGCAGATTCAGATTTTTTTCAAGTGGTGCTGCCCATTAAGGCTTTGAGGAGTGAATATTTTTTTTCATAAAAATGTATGGAAAACATTCATTCAAAAACTGCTTTTCATAAATAATGAAAAGCATTCCTATGAGTCTGCTGACTCAGGTTTGTACTGTCATTATGCCAGGGGTTATGGTGGGCAACAGAAGTGATAATTAAGACGTACATAAAATTATAAGGACTTTCTGAAGAGGTTCAGGACTATAAATTAAAAGCAAACTAATATATGTAGGCATTTTTTTTTTATTTATGCATGGTCTTTGACTAAGTAATTTAGGTCAGTAGGATAATATGGTTTTCATTACAAATTCATATTGCAGAGAGAGGAAGACACAGACAGATAGACAGAGGAGAGAGAAGCTTTCATTTGTGTCCCATTTTCACCTCTTGTTTACCTCTTCTAAATTATTTTTCACCAGACTTACCATTATGTAATATTATTGTAATATTGTCATTCTCCATTAATGTATTCCCTGACTGGGGGATCTACCAGTAACCATCTCTGACAAAATCATTAAAGATATACCTACCTCACTGATGTCATAACCCAGACACATCAAGACATATTAGTATTACACTATCTAAATTGTCTTCCAAGTTTTAACATATTAAAGTACACAAGGCACTTTAGGTGCTATATATAAACAAATGATGTACAGTTGAACTTCTGTATCTTGGACGTAATATTAAATACAAGGGGTGCGTTAAAGTAAGGCTCTACTGTAACAGTTTGAGATATTACACTATCTAAATTGTCTTCCAAGTTTTAACATTTTAAAGTACACAAGGCACTTTAGGTGCTCTATATAAACATGATGTACAGTTGAATCTCTGTATCTTGGACATAATATTAAATACAAGGGGTCCGTTAAAGTAAGGCTCTACTGTCAAAGATTCAATTTTATAAAAAAGTTATCATTGTACTGTAAACATACTATAAATGTACTACATTTAGCTGTGTATTCTATTTAGCAATTTTTAAATTAGAGGAAAGGATCATCCGCTAAATCAAGTACATTGCTAAATGTCTTATTTAAATATCATAGATTTATATCTAGCACATTCAGATAGCGCTAAATCAAATCTACATTAACTTTTTGAAACACGAATTTCCACCAAATATCGTACAAGCCAAATATGATACATTTACAGTACTTCAATTACTGCTCACACTACAAAATTTAGTGTAGCAATTAGCACAATCATGAAAAGCACACTTGCATCATGAAAATGCCAAGTATGTGTTTAACATAAGTTATTGTTTATGAAGCACAGCACCAAAGTAGCCAAAAAGAGAAAACTGCTAAATTTTGTCAACAGTAGTTATGGTTGAGGTTAAAATACAGGAAAAAAACACAGAAAACAAAGTTCAGGGACAGATAAGTTTGTTGCTTGAAAATAGGGGGATCTATCACCTTGCTTTTAATTAGCATCATTTCAGTATTCATTTGGTGTAATATGATTTTGCCCTAAGCTTTTTTCACTTAATATCTGCAAAACTAGGACTGAAATTATTAAAAGATAACCTAGGACTAAACACCTGGTAGGAAATGGTTCTACATTCATGAATCCAGCCTCATCTGCATTCAGCAATTGGACCTTTCATTGCAAGACACCATTAAAGATACAAGCTACAAGGACAGTTTCATGGTCAAGTTTATTCTAGCTTATGTGTGTGGGACGGAAATCTGTTTGGCAGTCCAAACAGAAGAATATATATTGACATTCTTTTACACAAAAGTATTTCAATATAGGCATTGTGGTTTAAATAATTGATAGATTATCTATTAGAAAAATGTACTTGTAATATTGGTCTAAGATTATCTGAGATTATATGTGGTACTCTTGATATGTCATCCAAAATTAGAGCAATTTAAACAGACGCATATTTTGAAACTGTTTTTTCGGTTGGCATTTTCTGTTTTCTTTGGATTGTGTGGGAAGCATTTTAAATGACTATCTTCTTTAGCTCAAATGATCTTGTAAATAAGCAAGGACTCTTTTTTTGGCAGTAATTATATCCACTTATGAACAGGGACAAGATGAAATTTGGCCTGTTTATATAGGGACTATTATAGATAAGGAAATAATAGAGTACATATTTATAAGGCTAGACTCGGGAAAGACTTGCAAATTAGCAGGCCATGTTTGGACCATGTGTAATGATAACACATGCAAATTGGTTTACAACCCCAGATTAAATGTTTATTAAGTGTCGCAGGTGAATTCATCAGGGGATGGCATGCTTCACATACTGGACCTTACCAGTACTGGTATATCGCGTACCGAACTTAGTTTCATTACCTACAATGAAGTGGACACTCTACCTTAATTAGATGGACCACATATATATAGGAGTGTATACCGAATCTGTGACCTTGGCTTTAATGTGAATAATTTACTCATGTTTGGAGACATTATGGTCAAACACATTTGAAAAAGATATGAAATAATGGCTGGACATTAACTGGACAGTTCAGTGACTGTTGTTCACTGACCGAACTATAGCCTACAGCACGGGACTAGTAAGGAAGATACAAAGGCTTGTTTTTAAAGCTTGAATGTTATGCTAAAATAACAGAATATATAATACGCTGAAAGACATTCAAATGTCATATTATGGATTCTATAAGCTGAAAAAATGTCTTTTTGTGATCATGCACATAATTGATTCAAAGGATCTAAGAGTACAGACCAAATGAGAGGTCCCCCGTTTTTTAAGTGGTACTGAAGTACAAACTAAAGACAGAGGTGAAATTCTGAGATTATGCAGGATTATCTTATGCACCAGACTGCATGGAATTATGGGCTATTTATCTTCTGATCGCATAAGGATGTAATATTATGGCGGTGCAGTGTTTACATTTCCGTAATTCCTTGTAGGTCATCTAGGGTGATCTCGTTTGATAAGGTGTCATGACAGGTGTGGTACATTAATAAGGTGCCATTATATACTTATACCATAATCTGGGACTCTATTGCTGTATATAGTTACGTGCTATATAAGATATGGCCTGATTATAGACTAGGAAATCAATGATGTCCCACTACGAAGAGAAACAATGTTCTGAGTAGTGACAAAAAATACTGAATATGAATTATAGATTCTCATATTCTACTGTCTTTGAAGCGGTTGACAAGTTTATTAACTGTGTGGCATTCTTCAATGGCTGAAAAGTTGTTGAAGTGAAACATGCATTTGAAAATGGAGCTAAATGTAAAATACTTCAGTCTGAAAGGATCACACTAAGGAAAACATCAAGATGATGTTTGCTGTGACAGGTGAGAAACTGGTATCTGTGAACAGGTAAACATTGTATGTAGGTATAATTCCATGT